GCTTAATGACAGTGGTGATTCACTTAACAACCATTGTAAAAAAGGCTGTAAAATTGGGTCTGTTCATGTGGTGACTTGCTTAACGACCACCCTGCTTAATGACTAATTCTCGGTCCCTATTGTGGTTGTTAAGCGAGGGCTACTTGTACACCATCTCTGATAGATGATGATCCAGGCTGTGTTTGAGAACCTCCATTGGAAGGGAAGAAGCCACTCCATGCAGTAACCCGTTCCACTGACTGACAGCTCTTACTGTCAAGAATCAAGAGATTCTTCGTAATGTTGAATCTTTATCTGTATCCTTGAAATTTAATTCCATTAGTTCTAGACTTACCCTCTGGAGCAAGTGAGGATAAACCTGAGCCCTCTACAATAAGACAGCCCTTCAGATATTTAAAGATATTTATCATGTCCCCTCTCATTCTTCTCTCCGGCCAGCCAAAGGCCACCGAGTCCAATCTCCTGCTTTGCAGGAACTCTTGTTCTCAAAAGCTGCCTGGTGATTTGTAAGTACTGAAACAGCATCTTTGGGGTCCCACCGAGAGATCAAGTTTTTCTAAGTTGGGTGAAGATTTCAACGACCGACCACCTTTGAGCTAAGTGGTGCTTGAATCTGGCTGTTTGATCTCTTCGCCCACCTTCTCTCATTTTGCTGATGAAGAAACTTATCCTCCTGGTATTTTTTTCAGCCATGGTGTAAAACATTTGGCTTCAATTCCAGAGCCTTTTCCTCATGCAATCATTTGCTTCCTTCCCGGGTTTGGTATTGGAACAGCTAATTGAGTCTGCTGGGATCCTAGAGAATCTCTTTAGCAGATGTCAGGCCTTCTCTATATTTAACATGTCCCCAAATTCTAGTTAACCTGATGTGGTAATTTTCAGAGCTCTTTTGTTCTGAGCTAATTAATATATTGCTTATACCTGTAGGTTGCCATGTCTAATAAACAAAATAAATAATTTCCTTCCAAGCCACGAGAGTTCCCAGTTTTTTCTTTCTGTTGCACCAAGGAGCACAGATCATTTACTTAAGCCGGATATTATCTTGCTAACTTTCTCTTCATCCTGCTACTATTTCTTGAAGAACTTTCTGCTTTTTGTTGGTCTTCCCACCCTAAGGCTCCCTAGAAATGATTGTTTCAGCTGCCAAAATTCTCAGTGAGGGTCCCACTGATTGGAGAAATCTGGGAGTTGAAGTACTTACAACTGGAAGGTGCACATGAGGGGGAAGGTTGCATTAGAGCAGTGTTTCTCATTCTCAGCAACTTTAAGATGTGTGGATTTCAACTCCCAGAGTTCCCCAGCCAGCATGCTGGGGAATTCTGGGAGTTGAAGTCCACACATCATAAAGTGGCCAAGGTTAAGGAACACTGCATTAGAGTCATTACTAACTTGAGTTGCCTTCCATTCTTCAATTGACAGATCTGGCTGTCATTCTTCACTTCCATTTGGTGGGCTTGTGAAGAGGATTTGGAACAGAATGGACACTTTTGCCATTAAAAATTGTTAATTTTATCTTGGGGCAGAGGCAGATATTATGGGAGCTTGTTGCTGACCTCTATCAGTTTTGAATTAAATTGATGTCCCATCCAGGAGTTTAAGGCAGCAAAGATAGAGCTCTTATTTCCCCCCCAAACAATCTATGAGGTAGTTGGGCTGAGAGGGAGGGACTAGCCTAAAGTCCCCCCAAGGAGTTTCTTTGGCTGAGGAGGGACAAGAACTTGGATCTCTCCACTCCTAGTCCAGCAGTTTCCCCACTACTTCATCCTGGCTCTGGGGCTGAGGGACTGGCCCAAAGTCACCCAATGAACTTCCATGGCTGGAGGGAGACTAAAACCTTGGTCCCTCCACTGTTGGTCCACCACCTTCCCCACTACACCACATTGGTTCTTGGCTAAGAGAGAAAGTGGCCCTCAGGGAACTTCTTTAGTTGAGGAGGGACTAGAACTTGGGTCTCGCTCCTCATCCCATAACTTTTCCACTACTCTGCACTGGCTCTTGGGCTGAAAGAAGGACTGGCCCAAAGTCTCCCAGGGAACTTCTGTGGTTGAGGAGGGTCTAGAAGGTGGGTGTCCCCACCACTAATCCAGCACCTTCCCTGCTCCACACCACCCTGGATCTCTATCATCTTTGGAGTGGCAACTAGTTCAACTTCCATCCCTCTTAATTTATGTGGTCCAGTTGCACTGATAAAGCTGTACTGTGAAAAAGATCTTCCTGAAGAAGTATGGCCAAACATCTGCTTCCTCCTCTTTATTTTTCTACTTTTTGGTGACAATGTATAGCAGTGGAAATGCCGTTTGGGGAGGAGGGGGAATGCTTTCTTTTCTTTTCTCTCAAGGGGAGGTTTTAGGCTCTCGGTTTAAAGAATGTCTGGGTTTCTCTCAAAGGTTGCCGCGTTGTTTGTTCCTCCTTCCTCCCCTCCCTCTCGCTTTCCTGAAGGGGGAACGGATATGAAGGCATTGAAGCCTGAGCAGAATTTCCTTGACTGACTTGGGGGCCTTTGGGAAAACACAGTTCTCCCTGCTTTAGTCTTGAGCTTTCACTCCCTCAGCAGAACAATGGTCCAGATGGCCAGCCTGTCCTTTTCCTGCTCTGCAGCAGAAGAGACAGATGGGAGCAGTTGTTTCAGGAATCACAATTCCATTTAATGTTCTCTAAGTCCTGAAAGACAATGAGTGCATTCATGCAATGTGGTCAGCCAGATATGATGCTCACTATGGGCATGATCCTCAATGCTATGGCAGATGATATGGGAAACTGCAGCCAACAAGGGTTGACCTATCATCCTTCAACCCACCACCCCCATGGGCTGATGCTTCAACCATCTTCACAGTGGCTGGTGTCCAATCTTGATGTTCTTATTTCCCTCTCTACTTAATCCTAGGACTGAGCAAAGAGCTGAGAGCATTGGCAGTGTTATGGCTAGAGGGAAACCCTTTTATGCTAATCCTGGTCTCCTTTGTCTATGTCCAGAAGAAAAATTTAAATCTGGGGTCATTCCCACACTAGTGACTTAAGGCATCTTCATAGCACCACCCAGCCATCATTAAAGTGATATATAGCCTGTTAGGCTGTTATTTGGCCCAACAACGGTTGGATGGCTCTAGAAGATTAACTTCTTCACACACTCAGATGACAAATAGAGTCATGGTTAAGGCGAATTGTCTAAAAAAATGTCTGTTTTGCTGGACATGTGGCCACATGTGAATTACGTATGTTTTTACACTGTATTTTTGGATGCGTAAACCTATATGATATAGGTTCACACCAGGTAGTGGTTTTCCAAGTAACTACATGGAAATATCCGATCAGTTAAGCTGTGATGCAGCTGTAAGGAAAAGTTGCTTTACCTTTAAGCAACAGCTGGATATATGGGCATTTCCTTCCTTTTGTGGTACAAGGTCTCTTTCTACATTTTTGCTGGATGTTCTAGTTATTGCTATTGCTATATGAGAGTACCAATCAGAGGTTATTAAGATCCCATATAACAGCAAACCTGAGTTTCTAGGTGGCCTTGGGTGTGGACAAAATACTTAAGATCCCTCACCCTCCCCAAGATGGAGGAGGAGGACTTCTTTTGGGGTTGTGCATACATCAGCGCTTTTATTAGGTAGATATTCTACCCCTTACTGTCCCTGAACACGCTTGTCCTTGTGACTCAGAAGAAATTGAAACCATTACCTACATACTGCTCTCGTGCAACTTCTATACAGACATGCAGAATTCATTTATCATGTGTCATCTGTAACAGGACAAACAGACTCCAATTACATAAAGCTTCTACTGTCCAGTTCAAATACTAGTATTATTAGTATTGTGGCTAAATTCTGTGTTGCTGTGTGAAAACACGCCATCAAATATTGCATTCCTGATTATTGTTTTTATTCTGTATGCATCTTTGTGTCATTTTTACCCTTATTCTGTGTTATTCTCTTTACTTTTAATTTGGATCAGTGATCATCATAATGAAGACTTAATCTTGAGATAAAAGTATTCTACTCTTAGTTTTTGCCTGGTAGATACCCTGATTTAAAATAATATATAGGAACACAGTATCTTCTGACAAATTACGGAGTAAAACTTCAAAGATCAACTGAGCCAGTCTGGACACACTGAGAATCGTTAAAGGTTGGAGGGGTAAGACAGTGGAGAGAAAGTGAGAGAAATGGAGCTGTTGGCCAGCCAGCTATTCCAGATCATGGAAGTAGGAGAAGGCATTTATTTCTTCTTCCATATGATTGATTGATTGATTGATTGATTGATTTCTTCTTCCTCCCTATGATTGATTGATTTCTTCTTCCTCCCCATGATTGATTGATTGATTGATTATGAGTGCCATCAAATCGGTGTCATCTCTTGGTGACCACACAGATAGACTTTCTCCATAACAATTTGTCCCAAGCCTGGTCCTTCAGGTCTTCCAATGGTGCCTCCATCGCTGCTGTAACTGAATCCCTCCAGCTTACTGCTGGTCGTCCTTCTTTCTTTCCACCTTTCCTAGCATTAGAGGCTTCTCCAGAGAGCTGGGCCTTCACATCATGTATCAAAAATATGATAATTTGAGCCAGATCATTTGGGTCTCAAAAGGAACTCTGAGTTTTAGGCTCCGTAGCTGCTATTCGTTAAGGAAAAATCTAGCATTGAAGTCATGCTTCGTGATTTTTTGGTCCTTAGTCTAGTGCAGTGACAGTACACTTTCTCTGCATAATGTAAGATGCATCAGATTGCTCCATGCTTGTTCATTTTTATTTCCATCAAATTTTGCCTGTTCAGCATGGATGGAAATTGTCCTGATTTCATAAGAAGCATCTGTGAAGATACTTATTCAGGAAGGAAGTAATGGGGTTGGGTGTGTTTTTGCTCAGGGTCTCAGCAAATGAACCTTGGATGTTAGTGAAGTAAGGATTCAGCTATTATTTTGGACATAGAATTTTCCTTTTTTTTGCATGTTATATTTCAAGGGAAAGAATTTACTGAATTCTTTTCTGTCTCCCCCTCAGGTTCTGCAAGAGAGACACATTTCGTGACAATGGAGGCCTGACATTTGGACCTTGGAGTTATCATTAGAAGTATGGAACTTATTGAGCATTGCCAACATGGTTGCTCTAGACCCGTTCCAAATGGATACGGAACTAAGAACTTCCAAACCAACCCGAAGGAAAGATGCACTGAGCAGAAGTATCCTAACCCAGGTGCCATCGCTGACACTGGCAAAGAGGATGTGGGCAAGAATAAGAAGAAGCCCAGGGGCAGTTGGATTTGGAATTTTGTCAGCCGCAAGAAAGGATCCGCCATGAATACCAAAAGACCCCAATCCATGATACTCTTTGGAGATAACATGGAGATCTTGGAGCAAAACCGTAAGATGTCTTTCATGGAAAGGGTGAGATCCTATAAAAAGCTACGATCGTCTGGCATATCCAGAAATACATCCAAAGCGAAGGCTATTATCATCTCGGTGGAAACTCAGGAAGATCTTGAACAAAAAGCCCTCCATAGGATTAAGAAGCTTAGTGACAGCCAACGGCCTTACCGCCACTCCTATGCTGGCTTCATTGAGGATTTGGACTCTTCATTTGAGGATATTGAACTGAATAGCTGTGTGCTGGATATTGAGTCCAGGGAAAGCAAATGGCACAGGGGGGTGGAGCTGGGAGTCAGTAGTGGCGATGCTGATAGTTATTGTTACAAAGTGTTGGCTCAGAAAAATGCGGCCCTTGAGTTTGAAAAAACTCCAGAATCTAGGGATGCGGAAGGAGACCCTCAAAGAAGAGATGCTTCAGTAGCTCCTGAGAATAAGAAAGGAAGAAGTTCTGAGGTCTGGGGGTATCTAAAAGGGGTTTCAGTGGCAGGCAAGGACTGTTCAAAGTTGGAAAACCCCACTGCAGAACCTGGTTTTCAGAGTTTAAAAAACGCAACGGAGAATCCCCCTCCTTACCTTGCCTTTGCTGCAAGAGGCAAAGAGAACGTTGGCCAGACTAAAAGGCCAGGCCATGTGGGGAAGGGAAGCCATTTCGGTGGCGTCCTTAAGTTTTTTAACAGCGTGGCTGGGGCCGCTAGGAAATGGCGGGGATCTTCCAAAACGTTTTCTCAGGACGACCCACAGCAAAACTCCAGTTTTCCACGGCAAAGGCTAGAGCGATCTCATCGAAAGCAGCCTTTGATCATTGTCAATGATAATGCCAGCAGTTTCTCATTAACTGGACTGTCATCTGATTCTGGGATGTGGGATCACCATAGTTTGAAAGCCTCAGCTGGACAAGACCCCCCCCAAGAAAATGCGAATGCTGAGACTTCCCATGAAGCCTTGCAGGAGCATAGCATTGAAACCCCCTTTTCACCTCCTAGGAGAAGTATGGCATCTTGCCCCTACACAGAATTTCCAAGTGATTGTACAGTTCTCAGTGGACATGGCTTAGATATGGAACTGCTACAGAAGCAGAAGGTTCTTCTTAACAAAGTAAGGGATGAGGACCCAGGTTCTGCTCCAGTAGCTCCCTGGATTTTGCCTTCCTGGGACCAGGAGAATACCCGGTACCCTGTTTCAGCAGATTCCCAAAGCTTGGATATGGAGGAGTTAAAATCTCACGATCTCCCTAAGGCTGAGATGGACATTGCAGGCCTGGAGCAGGATTCTTCTTTGAACTGTGAAGAATGGTGTGACAGTGAAATGGATATAAAAGTTGTGTGTACCACTGCAGAGAATTTAAACACTGTAACAAGTGTAGCAGAGACTCCAGATCTGGGGGAGAGATTAATAGATAACCAGATGCCCAAGAGGGGTCTGGGAGAGGACCATCACCTTGCCAACATGCGAGCAGATAATCAGAGGCGTGCAAGGACCCTACCAAATGCTAGCATTTCAGCAGTTTCCTCCATAGATACTCGGACCATTAATACTGTTCTGTCAGATACTCGGAGTTTAGAAAGCATTTTGGAGGATGTTCACAGCCCCTGTACGCCTTTAGCTTGCTCATGCCATAGTCAGCAAGTCCTAGATCAAGACAATACTTCAATCAAAGTGAATGGGAACACCTTTCTGCTGCGGCAGCCATGGAAGCCTTGCGGACCCGAACATTTGAAGTGCAGGAACGTTTATTACCCCATCCAAATGAGCTTATGCACAATTGTCTCCTTCAATGAGTTAAACAGTGGAAAGGTAGGATCCTGTTTGGGCTGATGATCCGTTCCATCTGCTCCCTCCTAACTGTTGAATGAAGCTGTAGTGAGTTCGATACAAAGCAGTGATATACAGAGAGGGATTCACCCCAGTGTATTTCTTGAACGGGATTCTTCAGACCCACAGATTTATGTTTGGGTTGGTTTTCCTAATGTCCTGGTCTTAGTTTTCATGGCAGATTTCCTTCTGCACCCCATAGCTCGTCTAATAATTAATTTGGCTTTAGAATGAACGTTTTTTCTGGAATTCTTAAAAAAAAGCATATTTTTTCAAGTAAGCTTAGAAAAAATAATGCCTCGAGAAGCTGTCTCCGTGCACAGCTGCCAGCTGCAGTGAAGTGCTAAAATCCTTGCCTGCATTAGTAGAGAATATTCTAGTCCTCCCATTTCTAATATGGACTTTAAAAAAATGAAAACCTATCACAGTTGTTTTATGTTCACCGATATGGAGATTTTCTACACATTTCCCCTAATTTACATAAATGTTAACATAAATTGCCCAACGACCATTTTTTAAAAAATGCAGGTGGTCTGTTTTTATTCGTTGATGCATACTTTTCCTGAAACAGGTTTAATAAGGCCCAAAGCCCTAACGTAAGCTCCAATTTTAATGTCATTAATTTTAATGTAAGCTCCTATTTTAAACATAATGGACATTATTTGCATATGTCTTTCAGAAGCACTTGTCAGGCCCATTTTGGGGCAGAATTTGCTTCCGGACTTGGATATTAACATTTGCTTCCCTGTGAAGTTAGGTGGGAGCAAAATGCTAAAATGCTAATATTCTCTTCAGGTGCTATTACTGTTAGATTTTATCCCCCTTTTGCATCTATATTGTGTGGTATGGCTTTCTCCTTCCATTTTAGCACATAGGACACCCATCTCTTCCACAGAGAGGAACATCCGAAATGCAGATTTTTCTCTGGTGCAACTGAAATCAGAGGATTTTTCTGTGGTGCAACTTATTTCAAAGTAACTTAGAAACTCATCCTAAAACCAGATTATTTTGAGCAGGAGCAGATAAAAGTGAACTTGTGAATGTCAGCATAGCAGCTGGACCTGAGTTTATTCTTGCTGATTGTTGCTGCTATCACTATGATTGAGTCTTTCAGTTTAAAAAAGGGAGAGAAGGGGTTATTTATTTTTGAAAGAAGCCTTTTTCCACTAAAGGAATGTCCGTCTGCCAACGTCAAGTTGGCAGCCACGATGGTGTGATTAAAGCTTGGCCGTTTTTCACATGCATTGCATCATCATGGCCGCCATGTTGCTTTTTTAAAGTATTTTTTTAACCCTACCCTCCGACGCCCCTGTTCCCATGCCTTTTGACTGTGTGCTTTTTAACATTTTGTATATATTGTGCTGTTTTAATGGTCTTGCCCCCTCCTTTGGTAAACCACTGTAATATTTTGGAAAGGCTGGATAACACAACCACAGCAGTAACACAAGTCCATACTTAAATATTCCTCATGAAAATTGGAGTGTAAAAAGGTGTATTTATGTTTCAAAGGTGGATGCACTCTTGGGACATCTCCCCGGTGGAGAATATTGGTTAGGCTTTGCTTACGATCCAGCCTAGCCGTATCCTAACTTTGTTCCTTAATGTGATGGCCTTTGGAATGGTTTATTTATTTAATTTATTTATTATTAAATTTGTATGCCATTGTATGCCAACGGGTGACTCTGGGCGGCTCACAATTAAAAATCAAAAGCCCATAAACAGTTAAAGTACCCCATAAATAATTAAATGACTCAATCCATAAAAATCCACTATAGAACAAACCCTATATGTACATACTAAAGACATTCAAGATGGTTATGAACTCCCTTAATTTTCTTTGGGTGAAAGCTATCCCATAAAGTTTGGCAACAGCCCTTTGTCCTCAACGGGGGTGTCCACAAGGGGAGGGAGGTAAAAAAAGATGGTTGCTACGACCATTCTGTTGCAATCCTGCCCGTTTTATGGGTCTGACCCGAGGGAAAAAATATGGGGTGGGGCTTGAATCACTTGGCTGTGATTGCCATCTTGCCTTTTTTGACCCCCCTCCCTTGCTGGTCTTGATGCATCTCTCAGATTGAGAGCTAGCTAGGAACGGTGGCTGAATGGCCATCGTTCAATGATAGCATGATGCTTTTCCCAGGGAGGGATCGGTGTTTGCAAAATGTGGATGTGTTCCTGGGTGGTTGGGTGTGCGTGCGTGCGTGGGTTTGCAAAAACACTCCTAGTTTGCTGAAGGGGCTGAAATGATGTGAAAGAAAAGACTCCCTTGCCCACTACAGGGATGAAGGCAATAAGAGTAAACCTGCTGATTTGGCTGTTCTTGAGCCTCTGGCTATTTTTGTAGGGCAAAAGAGACAAAGATGATCACCCACAGCCTGTTGGCAGGGGTTTTTTTTGCTGAGCCAGACAGAGTGCTCTTTAGGGAATTAAAACCTAGATGTAGGTCAGTGAGGTCATGGGGAAGAAGAGGGCAGGAAAGCTGGGTCCAGAAAGGGCCCCAAGCCAGGTGGAGGAACGTGCCTGTGGCATTTATGGAAAGCGTTGTCTTCTGGGTGTCCCTCTGCAAGGGTGGGGCCCCTTTGTCAGGAAATTAGACTGGTAAGTTTGGACACCAGCTTGGTACCCCCCCCTTGCTACTCCAAGCAGATGTGCAATCAAGTCGTGCCATTCTTCCTTTGGCCACCTACACATTCCTTACATCATCCAACCTTTTTCTATTAGTATTAGGAGTATCCATAGGGAGGAGGTAAAAAAGGTCAGTCACAACTTTGTGTGATCGAAGCCCTGCTCCTTTTCCTGTGCCTCGTGACCATCATCTTGACTTTTTTGACCCCCTCCAGACATCCTTGCGTAGCAGCATCCACACAGAGAACATAATAACAAAAGCAGCATTTCAGTGTTGCAATGTGAGTCCCACGCTTTTACTACGAGCATCATGAAGTTGCTCACATATACCAAAGAGGTGGAATTTGTGGCACGATGTTGTGGTCCGGCTTACACCTCTGCTGGCCTTGCCCCCTTCTTTTTCCTCTCCCTCCATCTCAGCTTTTTGTAATGGGACACTTGGCAAACCCTTCATATTTAGGCGATCAGATCTATTAAAAGCAAGGCCCAAGATGGATTTTAGATTTTTCTCTATGTGCCCTAACGGCTGGCTTTGCTTTTTCCGGCATCCCAAAATAGCGACAAGTGGTCCACCACTAGCAGAACTTCCTTCTTTCACTGTGGTCTTGCAGTGCCCTCTGCAGGTTGACTGTCAAATGTGGATTTTTCAGGAATTGGAGAAGCAGGCCTTTCTTGGTGCATTAAAAAGTTGCCCCTAGTTGTTAGCCTGCTGCCTTACTGAGTAAGTAAGTAATTTAACGCCTGCTGCCTTACTGAGAGAAGAGTTTGAATTGCAAGAGGTCCTTCTGGAATCAGTCTCTCTTTATTTCAGTCCTCTACACTGACATTGAGATTTCTCTAATTTTAAAGGGGTGGTGGTGGTGGTTCTGCAGTCTCTCTCCTCCCATGCAATGAAGTTGTATTTATCTTTACAACTTGTCAACCTTGTCCCACTGCTTGGCTGAGTGGTCTCCACCACTCAGTTAGAAGTTAGAAGGAAGCCGTACCAGCGTGAAATGTCATTGTCAGTCATTATCCTTCCTTGGTTCTTGCAGTCCCTGACTGCCCCCCTTCCCCAAACCCCAACAGATACCCCCACTTTGAAGCTGTCCTTGGACAGAATCAGAATATGAGGGAAAATATGACTTTAATACTGGAATGGCTAAGGGGACTGAAGTCTGTCTTGCTGATGGGCTGGAGATGAGATGAAGGCATTGTTGTGCGGACATGGCAGAAGAAACATGTTTTTGCCATGGTTAGGTTCGAGCAGGGAAAAACCCTGGCTAAGTTCAGACAAGATGCTGAATTATGATTGCTTTAGCCATGGCTGATGAATCCCACACTGGGTTTATTTCTGTAAGCCATGATTTACCACAGGGACGGAATTCACCCATCCCACTATGCTTCAATCAACCCTGTTACGGCTTGAGGCCACGTCTGGCCTATGTCTGTGAGATTATGTAAGAGAGCTGAATACAAAACAATTTTATGTAGTGCTGCTTCCATTACTCAGCCAAACAGTTGATTGCATTATTCAGTTCTCTGTAGTAGAAAATATTTCTCTGAAGAGGAGAATGGGGACCTTGATCACCAGACAAAGAATCTAGGATTTCCAGCAGCAAGGACAAGTCTGTAGAGTTCGTATGTTTTATGCATACTCTTTTATTGGTGAAAAATTAACATTTTCAAGGCTGTTGTAATATCTGGTAAATATGCTCTATGGCAGATAGATAAATACAACTGGAGTAATCTCTCTGTGTAATGCACTGAGCTTTTAGGAGAAGAAATGAATGTTTCGAGTTTTTAGGATCAAAGGAGAGATGCTCCCTTGCTTTTCATTCTTTCCAATCCAATGACATGTTGGAAAGAATTTCTGTGAAAGGGTCTATCTCCACCATACCACTTCTTCTAAGCAATTTTGCTATTTTGAGATGTCTGAAAGGCAGACTGGAAGACCACTTCTCCATGTAACTGTAAGAAGTGTCCATCATATGCAATTTCTTGCCAATGTCGTCTTCTGCTTGCTGGAAATGGACATGGTTGAATCTGAGGCATGTTCTCCCGTGGAGCCAGCTCCGTGGACAAGGTCCTGAGTTACCATATTGGTCCATAATATTGTTGCTGCTCCACAGGATCGTGGCCAGCAGCACAGCACTCCATCTGAATGAGATGAAAGATCATATCACATGATGGTGGGAAAAGGAGACCTTGTGTCTGGAGTGACCAGAAGCATAGTAGTTACAGACTGCAGTCGTTGGGTTACTCTTTAAGTATGGATTTCTACCTGCAAACCATCATTCCCACACATGAGAGAGAGAAAGAGATGAATAAATCTTGAGCATTTTCTTGCACTAAGCTCAAATCAAGATGCTTGCTGT